GCCCATCCGGGCACGTCTCCTCCCAGGCACAGGCCTGCCCAGTGGCCTGGGCCCATCGTGCCTTCTAGGAGAGAGGGCTGGTCACCACCCGCAGGGTCAGCCTTGGGGTGGCAGGTCCCTCCTCACCAACAGGGCAGAGCTGGGGGCAGGTGAGGGGCGAGGGTGGAGGCTGGACTGGGGCAGACGTGGCACAGGGACATGCCCAGGAGGGCGGGGGTCACAATGTCCATCATGATGTCATGGGTGACTCCTGCCAGGCAGGGGTGATGGGCTGCCTGCCCTGGGCAGGGGCTGGGGGCTGGGGGCTGGGGTGGCAGCGTGCCTGCCAGACTGGCTGGAGAGTGTCCCCTCCCTGTGCCTGTTCAGACCCTGGCTCTGCTGGCCCCTCCCGGGGCATGGCTATGTGTGGTCCCCGATTAGAACCCCGTCCCTGGAACGGGGTGCCAGGCCCCAGGGGGCCCTCCCAGGGCTGCATTCACCTGGCTCCCGGGGGCAGCTCCGCCAGACCCCTTTGATCCTTGACTGCTTGCCTCTCTTGGTGCTGACCCGGGCCCAAGGGGGCAGTGCCCGGCGTCCTCGGCCGTGGCTGAAGCGGGTGTGGGCTGCGGGTGTGGGGACGGTGAAGTGGGGGCACCGCTGAGAAGACGCTGTCCCCAGCCCCTTCTTGGACCGTGGCCTTGGTCCCCGTGGCCTTGGTCCCCGTGGCTGGCCGAGGGTCAGGCCCACCCTGTAGGGGACAGCGCGCTTCCTGGGGTCTTGGGCTTGGGATCCCCCGTGTGACTGGCTCTTGTTTCCATGGTGACTGTGGGGCCTGGTGCCCCTCAGGGCCAGCGTGGTCTCTGCATCCTGTCTGCCCTTGGTGAGGCCTTCCTTGTAGGGATTGTCTCTCTGGCCTGCATGCCGCCTGCAAGGAGGAGGGCGGCCATCAGGCCTCTGGTCGGGAGGGGCACCCCGGCCGGGATGGAGGCGCCCTGTGTCTGAGGGGGGCCCTGCAGCAGGGGCTGCTGCCCAGGAGGGGCCCTTTGACCAACTCGGGGACGTCTCAGGGCAGTTTCAGCCGTTCCGGAACGGGTCCCTCCCAATTTGGGGCTGTTGGGAGGCGGGGACGCTGCTGGGTTGAAGGCACAAGCGGTGGGAAGGCAGGCACAGCCCGGAGCAGGCGGGACCCAGGGCGAGGCACCTGCATCCAGGTGTCCCCCAAAGAGGACGGTCACCGAGAAACGCCGGCAAGGCCTCCGTCCCCACTTAGGGCAGACGTGTGCACAGCTCTGGGGGCTGAGTGACCCTCTGCCCCTGGTCCAGCCTCGCTCCCCCAGGACGGAGTCCCCAGGAGGGCTGGGCACTGTCCCGGACGGAGTGTGTGGGAATTAGACATGGACACACAGGCCAGGACACGGCCAGGAAGGAGGACACAGAGTGAACGCGGGAAGCAGGAGGTCACGTCCCGCGAGAGGGTGGTGGGGACAGAGGCTGGGCTCCGGCAGCCTCTCAGGAGGTCCTGAGACAGGCTCTGGGCAAAGGCCCCGCAGCTGGAACTGGTCTGCGTCTCAGCTCCCCACCGGTAAAGGCGGGGGGAGGGGGGGAGCTGCAGGTC